CTGATTAGGGAGTCATTTTCTGTCAAACTAATCACAGAGCGCTTGGTAGCGACATCAGAAAAAGAGTGCATTATTGATCTACTCGGCAGAAGCACATTGTTGCTGAGAGAATGTGTGTGAGTGTGTGCGTGGCTCTTTATCTCAGGCAGGAGACGATTTGGTGCAAACATCACAACAAATGCGGCTTATATAAAGTCTATTTACCACACCAGACGTAAATATGCATTTTTTCTCTAGGCCTCAGCACACTTAAAAGATAAAGAGGGAGGGGGGAAATGGTTTCGCTGCGCGAAGGAGACATAATGCATCATTATAAAGCATACGAGCACAGGCATTCGGGAGTCATTACCGAGCCCCAGGTCTGCTCCATTTGCCATGCCGCATATGTGAAGCCTTTGTGGAGGTACTACATAAAAGTAATCTACCATTTCAGGCATGACTTCCACTGCACTGAAGACAAACCTGTGGGCTTTTCCGTCATTATCAGGGTGACAGGTCCACCTGAAAGAAAGCTTTCTCCTCTCTTTCATTTGCGGCGTATAGATATTGATTGTAATGGGAGCAAATTTCTCCGAGTCATTATCATGCTGACCAATATCAAAAGACTAAAATGGCGCATTTAAGAGTCTCCTGCATAGCAACCGCAGATAAAGCACATTGTCCTGACCCTCATTATACGCAGCCAAACGGCAAGCTGCAAGCGTCTTTGATCAGCCATTTGAGCCTGACTGAAAACTGCATGTTCACCGCCACAAAGTATCTCTCTGAACTGACTAATTGAATAGAGTTGGCCGATTCTATTATGCTGTAATAAAGCAGTCAGCATATTTCCACAGGTTGACCCTAATCATTGGAATGTGCGGTGGATTTAATTACCTCCACTGAAGTAACCAAAAATATGGCGGAGATCAAGTGAATTATGCCCCCTTTCTGATACTGTTCTCTATACTTAGTGCTTATATAAGAAGGTGACATGAGACTTCAGTCAAAACAAAAGCCAGAAGCTACTAATGAGACTTGTTAGTGATGCTAATTTATGTAAATGTTATTAATTACAGACACCTATCTTTCATCTGTGCCATTTGGCGGAGAAGTAATTAAAAACAACAATGAGAATCCCAGCAGTGGAAAAGCAAACATGATCAAAGGAGTGCACGAGGAAAAAGAAAAAGAGCCTTTTTCCTGAACTATGCATTGCCATGGGCAACTAAGGCCTCATTAGAGTCCGAGACATTTGGTTGATCACCAGTTAACCTGATTTGCTTTTTTCCCCTTTCATTTTCATACAGGCCTCGCACCTCGCTGCTTTCCCTTCTCCTTCTGATTGACAGGGCAAGCTGGCAATCTGCGCCTCTGTTTCGCCACAAGGTTACAAAGGCCCCCATATGATCAGTTACAGTATTATGTCACCAAACAACTTCAAAATCGCCCCATGTTGGGCGGAAAGCCACGACCGTCTTTGTAGCCCTGCAGAAGGGCCCTTTGATAGGAACAAGGGCAGGAATTGTGGCATGTATCATGTGAGCTGAGGTAGAGCACTGGAAACAGATACGGAGAGATCAATAGTCCTCTCTGCTGTGCCAGCCCTCAGGATATTGACCCAGTCTCCATGGAGGACCTTCCATTTTAAAGAGTTCACTGAAGATAAGAGCTACTAAGAGGAGGAGCCCTTTAGTACTTTCGCTAGCTTGCCTATGACCATGATTTCCTCAAGACCTCCGTGGTATTATTGCCACCAACACTTGCAGCAAAAAAAAAAAAAAAGACCATGCACTGGGTCAAATATATACATGGGAGAAGAAATCGATCGGGTATATCAAATGGTCTGAAATGTTAAAAGTTCATTTATTTACCAACAAAAGCCCATGGGCTTGACATGCAATAAAATGCTCCCCATTTTGCATCCCCTTCATATTAAATTGACAAAAGAGATGTTATATACATGGAAGGTATATTAGTATATTATATTGAATTGTGAAGATAAAAATGTCACAATAATGAGTCATTATCATTCAGCTAAGCAGAAATATTGATGAATACATGCTTTTTATGGTTGACCCTTATTAAAACAGATAAACAAATTAGTGATATTACACTTTACAAAATTTCTGTTAAAATTATATTGAGTATATTTTTTAACCCATAGAGTGCCCAGCATATATAGGTACACCCCTCACAGATCTATCTTTTAAACTTATATTTTTAATAGGAAGCTATACAATATTATATTTGTGCATATACATTAGATTAGTCAGTACTAAAGCCAAATATGGAGCTTATCTAACAAAATAACTTACGATAACGGTCCAAAAACTAGTGCACCCAAATTTATATGTCATAGAAAAATATTAAATACAAATTTTAAAAAGGGCAGCATGGTGTCGCAGTGGATAGAACGATCACCACACAGCAAGAAGGTTGCTGGTTCAAGCCTCGGCCGGGTCAGTTGGCATTTCTGTGTGAAGTTAACATGTTCTCTCCGTGTTTGCGTGGGTTTTCTCCGGGTGCTCCGGTTTCCCCCACAAGTCCAAAAACATGTGGTGTAGGTGAATTGAATGAACAAAATTGTCTGTAGTGTATGTGTATGAATAAGAGTGCATGGATGCTTCCCAGTGATGGGTTGCGGCTGGAAGGGCATCCGCTGCGTAAAACATATGCTGGATACTTTGGCAGTTCATCCTGCTGTGGCGAACCCAGATTATAAAGGGACTATGCCGAAAAGAAAATGAATGAATAAATTAATTAAATAATTTTAAAAGAGGAAAAATCAAGAGAACCAAACAATTGAACAATTTAGTTGAAATTCTGTAGGTTGTAATTGTTTTTGGCAATATTTTGCTTGAATTAAATTGTATTATCTTTCCAATTTTAAATAAATTTCTAAATATTTTTGGTGACTATTATTTTCATAAATATATCTGTTTAATAAATCTGTTTTGTTTAAATGCATCAAAATATATTTTCTATAATCAATGAGAAATGGATAAAAAGATTCTTTTTAAAATGGGGTGTACTCAATTATGCTCACACTGTATCTGAGAAAAGCTTGGGTTGAAACAACCCAGCAGATTTAGAGTGTAGAATTTTTTATTTTATTTTTTATTTTTTTGAAAAAGGTCCAGTGGATTGATGGATATTGACAAAGAATAAAGATATAAAATAACAATTTGTTCACATTTTAGGTCTTGTCCTTAATATATCTGACAAGAGTAGTTTGATCTAAACCTCCTTTAAACAGTTAAAAATAACAGATTACATTCATAATGCATATGGATAATTTATGTATTTGAATTGTGTCTCTAAATATGTTTCTGAGCTGGAAAAACCTTTCTTAAAAAGCTCAAATTAATATTGCCTTATTCACAATACCAATTTGGAAACATCTTGCTATTGGCTGGCTACAGTATATTTCATACTTGTTTTGTACTTCTGTAAAGTGAGTCTTTTTCTCCCTTTTGTTTCACATAATTATACTGTAAATTGCTGTTAATCACTGTTCTACTTCAATAATGAAGAGCAGGAGCAGGCATGTGAAGAGAGACTTTGGAATACAATACAGAAAATGAAACATGAAATGAATGGGATCCACCTTCCTGGCCCTTTCTCTCACTCTGTAATTTGTGGCATTTAATGGAGGAAATCATTGTGATTTTGTACAATAATATGAGCTGGAAAGTGGAAAGAATTAAAACCAAGACCAAGACCAAAAACTACAAATATTCAAATAATTACACCATATTGTGTTTCCTTTCGTCTACCTAGACTTCCAATCACAACTTTCTTGTTATTCCACATATACTGGAACCTAAACGGAAAAGCACTTAATATAATATGTATAAAATTAATTTTTAAGAGAAATTAAACATCCCAGATAAAAAAGGAAAGAGTTTGATAGAGTCTACCGCATATAACCTTGATCATAAACAGTTCATTTGAAACAATTATTTATTTTATTTTTTATTTTACTTTCAGATGTAAATATATATATCAACCAAATGCACCAAAACCATAAAGTTGAAAGGAAACCACTATTTGTATCCTTTCCTAATGACCTGGTTCCTTAAAAGAATTTGAAACATTTTAATTATAGGAATTTGTCGTCATTTAACTTGTTAGACTGATAAGTTAAAATTCAAAAGACTTGACACTCATGAAAGGCACCTAATTTTATTTAGCCCATTTCAATCTAATTCAAACTAAATTTCTAAACATTAAATCAAGACCTTACTTTGACCTTCAAATATTTAGACCTCAAAAAATACATTATTAGTAATATCTTTAATTGCTATACTTAAATGTATGTCTTAAGATTTCATAAATGGACCGCACATCTTTTCCTAAAAACCCATTCCTTTAAAAAAATGCACAGGCATTCCTGTCAGTTGTAGCATGCATACCCTCATTGTGTGAAAAGTAATTAGAAATAGGAGTAAGTGAATTGCATAAAACAGAGACGCCTGTAGTGGGAATGCAAGGGGTGAAGGTTGTGTTTAAAATGGGAGATTAGCTACTCATCACAATATTATTCCACCCGCAATGAAAGGGAGTCATAGGGGTGGGTCGATAAAGGTTTGACAGCATTTCCAATTCATTTTCCTCAGCTCTCCAAGCCAGACTCCAATCTAACCATTGATCGCACTGTTAATCCATAACCAAGTCCAATCCATCCCTACAGAATGTACCATAAAATAAAACCGATAATAGGCAAAGGAACTCTTGACTTGCCAAATAACTGGGGAAGAGTTAAGCACAGATTAGGCTTTGGTTCATTTAATATACACTTACGCACCTCGCTAAAAGCACTCAGGATTGACACAGCCTTGATTTACCATGCTGGTGTGACAGTAAGTGTTTTGTTTGTGGAGAATGGTTTAATCCTAAAAATAGAAAGGGGGAGAAAAATCCCAATTGTGGTAAACTCTCAGCAATTTACACTATTTTAAAATGCAACATTGAACTGTGAGCGTTTTTACTCGCATCTGTTTTTTTTTCTTTTCCAGCTGAGTGATCTGTTCTGTTGCTGCGATCTGGATCTGACCTCAGAGCATGCGAGGTCAGTGTTTTGTCTACTGTCCGGTGACCAGCAACAACCTTTCTGATCCTGGAAAATGTCAGGCAGGTGAAATACTGGTCTCCTCTTATCGTGGATGATGGTACAACATCGTCTTGTAAATAATGTCACAATGTTGTTATCCATTACAGTTGTTTTTGTTTTATTTGGCACAATTTTCAAAACCAATAGGTCCATTTTCAAAACGCTTACTTAAATCACAACAGATCATCAAGTCTTTTTTTCAAACATTTTAGCATATTTTTAATTGTGTTAGTACAATAAACAATCACAAAATATCCTTTTCACTACATAAATTAAGTGTTTCATCTTAACTGTTTCATTCACAGTAACTGCCTTTTATAATACAATCACTATCAAACTTTTGATTTGCATCTCTTATCATTCATTTTAAAAAAATTTTATAATTTAATTCAACTGATCCTAAAGTTTAATCAAAGATTCATTTATTACATCTATAGATTTTCAACTTGTCTGATCATTTGTAAGTTACAAAATGCTGCAGGAGCTTTCAGTAACCAATTACTAATTATTTTTACCCGTTAATCACAATAACATACACATAAGTTGCAAAGTAAAATAAAATTATATTGCAGAAATTTTATTTTCTGCTTGCATATGTAAATGACTCAATGTTTTCTCATATAGAAATCTGTAAAATGGAAATATATGCAAATTACATGTTTGACAAATAAGTTCATATTGGGTTTTCACATATATGTGTCATACATGCAACATGCATTGCAAAATACAGCCAAAAATGCTGTTTACAATATATTTACACATTTGAAGTGGATCAAAACCTTTCATCCTAAATCTGTTGATCAACACCCATTCTTGTCTTAAAGTAGGACATTTAAAAAATATTTTTGATCCACTTTAAATGTTGACTACTTTATATATACTGCTTGTTCATATTATGTGTGTTCAAATATAATTTATTTGTATTTTTTGTGTTTTTAAAATCTATTTCATATATAACATATTTTGTATATGTGAAATCCAAATATCAACTTGTATGTCATATATGTAATTTGCATTTATTACCATAAATGGGATCTTTGATCATGTTTTCATGTTTTATAAACTTTTTTAATTATAGCTTTTGTTAGTTTGTCTGAACAAAAGTATGATGTTTGCTGTGATGGCTGTACAGCACAAGAATAGTAATTTAGCACTGATGGTGATTTTAAATCTGTATTGTGTATTGTTCACTACTGAATGAAATGATTGTTAAAAGCACAAAGTTGAAACAAGACGTTATTGTTGCGTTTTGGTGATTAAAGCAAATGTTCTCAGTATATATCACAATGATCTTGTGGAACGAAAATGTGCAACGAAAATAAAATCATGAAATCAGATTTAAAAGAATGACTAGTGATGTTACAAGAGTGATCAGTTAGAAGTTTTGTACGAAGAGATTTAAAAATGCACACTTTACTTATGTAAATAGTACCAAACCAATTTAAAAAAATGTATTAAGGCTACATTTAAAATAATAAAAAATAAATAAATAAATAAATCGCTATACATTGTGTTGATTAAGATTAATATTAAATATTTGACTAATTGAAGACTTGGTATTATCTTAACTCATTGTTGTTAAGATGTTGTTATATATTAAGGGTAGTATAAACTATTATATTAAGGGTAGTATAAACTATTAAGGGTATACGGGTCTTATTAAACAAGTGGCTAACTGAAAGCTAGGTTTTCACACATTGTCAAATGTTACTGTTCACTTTCTAGTGCACAATTACAAGTATTCTTTACAAACCATAATAAAAACCATTTGTACCTTAAAAAGTGGCTGATTTAATGTTTACTTTTCACTCCTTATCTTAAATTATTATTGTTATTAAATGCTATAATGGTATTTCTGAGTCTTCTCTCTCTCTTGAAGGCAGCTAGCACAAAATGTGATTGCTAGACTACTCTCTGGCACCTGCAAGTATAAGTCCGTAACTCCTATTTTAGCTGCACTACACTGGTTACCCATTAAATACCGAATTGATTTTAAAAAGTTATTATTTGTTTACACAGCCATCAACAATCTTGCTCCTCAATAACTTACTGACTTGCTCTGTCTGTATAACCCCTCTAGTTCATTGAGATTTTATGATCACAATTCACTCACCGTGAGGTGATTGAGAATTTGCAGTTGATGGTCCTAAACTCTGAAACACCAATTCACATAAGACTTTTCCCCTTCATTTCTGTGTTTAGGTCTGTTTTAAAGACCCATCTATTTTCTCCTGCTTTTCATATTCTTTGATCACTGTTTCAATGTTCTGCTATCTTCTCTGCCTTTAGTATTTCTGTGTACAGCACTTTGGTCAACTTTGATTGTTTTTGAATGTGCTTTATAAATAAATATTGCATTGTATTGTATTGTAAATGCTGTTATTCACTCTCTGCTACACTTTTAGGGGTACTAAACAACTGCGACAATGTGTGTCTTGTGTCTTTTGAACACACCTTTGATTATATGCTTGCTGTTCACAGATTATCTTAAATCTTTTCAAAGAGTTGTATTCACTCTCTCTGCTGTACTATTAAAGGAAAGATCTACTAAGCAAAATGAAATATATGTTTTGTTTATTGAATGTTGTGCACTTTCTGATGCAGTAAAAAACATTTTATTTTTAAATATTGCATGTGTCATGAGATTAAACCCTGCAAGTTTGTCTGGCATCATCTTTAATCAGTGGAAATTGTAGTCAAATAGTTCACTTTCTTTTGCATTATTAAAATTACTTTTTATTTGCTTTTTTTGTAATCTGTGCTTTTATTAGTATTAATAGTAAACAAGTGATTAATTGAATTCTTGCCTTTTGGTCTTTAAAACAGTGCTAAAATAATTCAATTAAAAAGATATACATTTCCATAAATACTTCTCACAAAGCACAATGATTTAAAATGACGACATTGTGCAATCTGTCAGCTTTCACCCTTGTGTCATAATGGGAACTTAATAAAGAAATGATTCAAGGATGCACATTTTATCACAAAAAAGAAATGGGGGGCCTTTGTCTATAGACATTTTTTCCCTTCCAACAAGAAACATGTTTCAGCAGCCCTGACAAACGCATGATTGATCCTTGAAAATGACCCAATCCAAACAGAGAAGCTGATAATGGTTTGAAAAGATGGCTCTATTATGGGATAGTATTTCATGTTGTGGAGAAATTGCTCCTAATGAGGCTTGTTCTTAAGGCCTGCAGGCCTGCCATCCCTCCCCTTACTCTCCAGACCTCCAGGGGTTAGTGTCTGTGCGTCAGGCCCCCATTGTTGCCTGCCGACGGATAATGTCCTTATTAATTGTACCTCTTTGTAAGGTGTCAGCTGCAGCCTTCGATTGAGACGGATGGGTCCTCTGGAGTCTGCTCTCTGGCCCTCTACTGCTAACCTATCTTTAGACAGCACACAGGTGCACCATTTCTCATCCTGCAGCTCGGCACTTGCCCAAGGCGTTCGCTGAAATATGACCAAAATTGTGAAATGAAAAGAGGAGAAAAACGCTAGATAATGGAGGTTTCAAAAAGCATTTGTGCGTTTGCATGTGCGAAGGTTAATATGGATAAGCTGAATAAATTGCTTCAGTAAACAACAAATGCAGTGTGATGAACAATGCAAAACGCAAAATCTATTAAACATCAATTAGATGTCATATGGCATGTCTGTTGAAAATGAAGACAGAAAAGGTTTGAGACCTTAAAGTTAGTAACTGAAATGTATTAAATTAGTTCTGACAGGACTGCTGTGTGTGTGTGTGTGTGTGTGTGTGTGTATATTTCAGTCTTTTAATAGTGACACTGTGCAGTGAAGTTCTGACAGACAGGAGGTTGCGAGTGGGAGGTAGAAACACCTTTTGCATCTGTCAAAGTGTGCAATAAATCTGATGGTTCAGGTGAAACACAACCAAACATCGCAATATGTCAAAACTAACCTTGCTACCTTTTTTGTATATATATATATACAAACTTTGTGTTATAAGTCAATTCATCGTTCAACTTTGGCATTAAAACTACTATTTGTATTATAGAAGTACAATGCAAAACAATAAAATAATTGTTTAAATGGGTAAAACATGCAAGCTAGTATAATTGACAATTTACTCATGTGTATAGGTCAAAGACGAGACATCTTATTTGAAGTTGACACCAAATTCAATTTAAAAAAGTGATTTCAAATACATGGAAAACATGTTAAATACTAGTAAAGTGTCTTTGTTCATGTTTCAATTAACTTTTGAAAAAAGAAACGTCAAAATATGGGTGAAATGTTCCATTCTCATTCAGCATAACAGTGATCTTTATGTTCAAATTAAACAACACATTTGGGCCCGTAAATGAGTGCGTTACATTTTATTATATTTCAAATGATTGCAAACTTCTTGCAGGCAAACTTATTGCTAACAAAGGAAATTAGCAAATATTGGTAAAGATTTTGAATTACATTCAATTAGTATTTTGGGGCAGCACTGTGATCTTTAAATCTTTTAATATGTTCTTGAATGTTTCTTGTGCTAAATATGTCTAACAACATTTTTTTTTTTTTGGTATAAAAACTGCTTTTACACTGAATGATGTTTTAGCGGGTGTCTTATCTGTAAAGCATGGTAAAAATATATAACCATTTTCATTTGCTCAAGAGAAAAATTAATTTTAAAAAATTAAACAATACATTCTATTCATTCCTTCATTCATTTTCTCTTTGGCTTAGTTCCATTATTAATCTGGGGTCGCCACAGCAGAATGAACCGCCAACTCATTCAGTATATGCTTTACGCAGCGGATGCCCTTTACAGACAAAATACAGACTAAATACAGACAATTTAGCTTACCCAATTCACCTATACCACATGTTTTTGAAAACAGATAGTGTATAACTTGGAGGTTCATTTCTCTATGGCGACCTTTGATAAATGAGGGGGCTAAGCTAAAGGAAAATAAACAAACGAATGATCAAAATATTCCTTTGTCTTTGATCCATTTTTATTTCCCTTTAAAATATTGCTTATGATTTTTTTAAGGTTTTAAAAGCACTTCTACAAGCAAAAAAAGTCTTAAATACAGTACAGACAAGCCTTTTTGACCTGAAAACTAAATTAATAAATAAAAACCATTCTGTTATCCTTATGATGAATGAATGTGACGGGAAGCAACCCCAAGTACTGATGTGGGGCAGGCTGAGGTGATAAGGTACATCGGTGTGGTCCAGACTTTTCATAATTACCTTCTCTGCTTATCTCAAAGGAAACACTTGTGCTTCTGGAGTATACGGGGCATAGCTACACTGGGACGTCCACAACAAATGCTCTGTCCCATGGCAGTACGCCATAAGCCACTGTCACTTACCTGGCCCATTTATCTCTGTAATTATGCTCACCTGGACTACATGCCTGAAACTAATTTAGTCATTAGTTTCATTGCACCTAGTTCCTGTTCAAAGTCAGCATTGGAACTTACAGTAACCCCTAACAGTTACTATAATCATAACCATTTACTCATGAATAAAAACAGGTCACTGGTCATGCATGATTAAGCACAGACTGGAGGGGAACAGGCAATGCCATCAAAGTGTTATATATATATATATATATATATATATAAACAATGTAAAAACTGTCTATAGTTGTATTTACATCAGGAATTAAAGCTAACGTAGCCCATTCACACCAAGAATGGTACACTTTTACACTATTACAACAAGTAAGGTCAAATTATTTATTTATTTATGATGATTAAATTCCTTAAAATTATGACTATGTAAAGCGCGCGCTTCAGTAACGTCACTCTTGACGTACGTCCAAAACTTAGTTATTGGTGTGAATGAACATGGCAAAAATTATCCACTTTTGGCGAAAATAACTAGACGTGTGTTTGGTTTGATGTACATAATTAATAAAAGGTAGCCTAACTGGTGGGTTATCTGTCGAGTAATAAGGAAAATAAAAGCGGTCCGACCTATATTCAGTAAAAACAAATGATTCGCACAATGGCGACAGACAATATGTAGCTGAGGTTACCTGAATGAAGGCAGGTGTATACAAGGACGTCTCTGTAGAAAGATATCCATAAAACTTCGCGGTCAAATCAACATGTCAGAAAGAGTAAAATATTGGCTATTAAATTTTAAGATTTTATCGCAATGCTATATAGAATTCATATTCAGTTCCGGAAGAATACGTCATGTGACTGAACACTCCCTCTTTGAAGTCCTCCAAAACAACGTATTACTCGTGAAACCTCCACAGTAATAAAGCTGAGATTATTGTGTTGCTTAGAACAATAATTATTTAGTTAGAAAATATTTTAAATGATCGTCCTTTATGGAATTAGCCATGTTTTACTACTGATTAAATAAACAAATAAATAAATAAACAAACATAGTTCCTGTGGTTAAAGCATGATAACCACACATTTCTTATAGTTTTGCTACACTAAGCAAAATTTGTGGTTACACCAAAACAATGATGGTTGCTAAAGTTTTACTATAAAAAAAATAATTATTACAA